TGTCCTTCCCCCGCCCTCCCCACGCGGTCCGGACTCACCTGCATCCAGGAACTTCCCAGATCCCCCTTCTTCACCAGGAGCCCAAGCCGGGGGCCCACACAGACATGGGGGAATGTGTCTTGGGAGCTGGGCTTAGGGAAGGCTTGTCTGAAAGAGCGACACCCAGAGCAAGGCCAGCTGTCCGTGCTGATGCCGTGTGCCAGGGGCCAGTTTGCGGCTCCTCCAGTCCCAAACCTGCAATAGCTCCTCCTTTCCTTCCAAAAACACCCCAGTTTGGTTTTTTGTTTTGTTAATCCTCACCAGAGGATATTGTTCCATTGATATTTAGAGGGAGTGGAAGAGAAAGGGAAAGACAAGAAATATTGATGTGAGAGAGACATCGATCGGTTGCCTCCTGCACAGGCTGGGATCAGGAACCTGGCTGGGAAGGGCCGGCAAACCAGGTACATGCTCTAGACGGGAATTGAACCCGGGACCCTGCAGTCCGCAGGGCGGCGCTCTAGCCACTAGACCAAACGCGCTAGCGCCCCAGTTTGGTATTTAAGGCCCTTTACCACTTGCCTAATTGTAACTCCTCTGGCCTCCCCTACCCCAGACCCGTGGCCACGCCCACCAGAGCCGCCCACTTCACATCGAGGTGCCAAGGGCGAGCGGGGCAGCAAGAGCGCCCCGAACGCCCACGGCCGGGCCCGAGCGGCCGCCCACGGGGCCCAGGGAACTTCTGGGAGCAGCGAGTGGGAGGACGAGCAGGCCGAGTATTCTGACATCCGGAGGTGAAACCGGAGGCCTGGCCGGGAGACCGTTCCTCCACGCCGTCCATTTTCTTCTCTGTGGACATTCCAGAACATTTGCCATTACAGAGGGGGATGCCCCGCGCAGGATCTGGAGGGGACTGCGGGCTGGATGCAGGTGTGTGTTGGCGGCATGAACAGGTGCGGTGGAGACTCCCCAGGCGGCGGCGAGGTCCGGCGGAGCCCACACTTGCGCCTTGAGAAGCGAGCACGCCACGTGCGCTCCCCGTGGCTTTGTCTTCTCTCCATCCGTGGAGCACTGGACGCGACCTGCGGCTTCCTCTGCCGGGGGTGGCGGTGGGCACCCTCCCACACTCCCCGGGGCTGGACCAGGCACTTGGGAGCAGCGGATCCAGTGCAGGAATGGACCTGAAGATCTCGCAGGGGCTGAGCAGGGTGGAGAGGAGGCAGGGGCCGTGTGGGTGCCGGTGCCAAGTGGAAGTGGAGTTTCTTGCATGGGACCTGGGGGTCTGGAGCTGCTTTCCGGGGGGAAGGCGGGAGGGCAAGGGTTCTCAGTGTACCGTCTGAGCCATTGTTCTGACTGGGGCAACCCTGCCCGAGGGCGTTGCCCCTGTGTGTGTGTATTTTAACCACTGCTTCGAGTCTCGATGTCACTTTTTATTTATCTAGTTACATCTACATATCTGTCATCTAAATAAATGGCTTTCACACCAAGCAACTGGGTCATTAAAACCAGCTCAGAGGAAAAACAGACAAGAGGCGCAGCCCATCTTTGGGACTGGTTGGTGTGTGTTTTTTTTTAACTCCAGAGCCACGTCACTGTACATCTTACTGCCTGGTGGGGCTCGTAACCACTCAGGGCGACCCCCACACACGGAGAATCTGCCCTCAGCATCTCAGCATCTCCCCGGGACCCCCGCCAGCCTGGATGCCGGGAGGCCACGCTGCGAAGCTGGCCCCTCCACGCTGGAGGATGGATGAGGAGGGAGAGGAGTGAGGCCGCTCGCTAATTCCCATTGGGGAACGCCGGCCTTTCACACACACGGAGGGGCGGCCAGGCATTTGGAGGGCCAGGGCTCTCCAGATCGGGATTGGCCGCGCTGCAGCGAGGAAAGGAGGCAGCATGAACCGAAGACAGGCGGGAGGAGGGACAGAACCGAAACTCCCCGGAGGAATGGATCGGAACCATTTCTTGCAGCTGCTTCCAGTGTTTCAGACAGAACCCTTCTCTTTCCTCCGCGGACGGGCGAGAGTGAAAGGTTGTCCCTTCAGCAGCCAGCCCTCCACCAGGCGCCCCGCTGGCAGGCGGGGGCAGGGTTCTGGGCCAGTCCTTCTAGAGCAGATCGCAGGCCTTTTCTGTACCGCTCCCCAGAGGCAATACCCTGACCTCAGCTTGGCGGGGCTGCGGGTTTCTGTCGCCGCCTCTCAGCTCTGCCACGTGGCACGAAAGCACACATACCCGGCGACACATCGCAGGCCGGGCTCCGCGCCAACACCAGGCAACAGGCGCCCGACTGGATCCGGCTCGTGGGCCTGGGCTGGCGGACCCGTTCCAGTGAACGGGCAAAAAAACATGCATCCCCCATTTCTGTCAGCTCCCAGCTCGCCCTGCAAGCAGCTCAGGCCAGAGATAAGCACACTAAATGGACCCACTCCAAAATGCCTGGCTGCAGGGAACACCCTGGCCCAGAGCACAGCTGACGTTTTTTACCCCGATCGTTGCTGCCGGGACTCGGTGCCGGAGGGTCAACCCCCCCAATCTTTAATGACCCGTGTTGGGTGTTTGTTGGGGGGAGGGGGGCGAATTGCTGGAGAAGCACCGAGAAAGAGCTGGAGCTGCAGAAAGCAGGGGCGATGGTGCACTTAATCCGGCTCTGCCCGCGGGCGGGGGGAGGACCGTGTGTCAGGCTCTGCCATGGGAACCGAGCGGACACCGTGGCGGCTCATGCCACCGGCCGGCAGCACGCTGACTGCGCTCCTCACGTCACCGGGAGCTGAGGCAGCGCCTTCTCCCTCGCTGCTGGGGCAGCTGTTCACGTGTTACCGAGAAAGAGCTGGAGCTGCAGAAAGCAGGGGCGATGGTGCACTTAATCCGGCTCTGCCCGCGGGCGGGGGGAGGACCGTGTGTCAGGCTCTGCCATGGGAACCGAG